TTTATAAATGACAATTCAAATAAAGGACTGAATTTTTTGCTGATGAAATCCGTTTAAAAAATTTAAAAAAAAAAAAAAAAAAAAAAGGGAAGAAGAAGGGGTGGAGGAAGAATTTTTCTCTTGATCATCAGGTAAAGTTATTTCCTCGTTCTATCTGCACCAGAAATAAACACTGCATTGTCTTAAACGCTTGTTGCTTAAGAGCAGTACCCGCATGTACATAACCTGTTGGGTGGTTGAAATAATTGCATCAAGCATTAGTGGCTTAATAGTTTTTGAACCCAAGAAAAAATAAAACATTTTTCAATGTAATCATGAGGGCAAACATATCTGATGCAACACAATCTTTCTACTTAAATGTGTGGAAGATTAAAAATTATTACATATCTTTTTTCAGCTTTCAGGCCAGGATTAATGTTCATTTTCAATGTATCTGTTCATCTCATTTTATAATGGAGAAGGCGCCCGGTCCCAGGGATTCCAATCCTACTGCAACACCTCCTCAGTGCACTAAAGAGGTAGGGTCAGTATAATATTGATGCCAGTGTGACAGTGGCTGTGGGTACTGGGCAAGTTTTGCCCTCGGCCTATAGCTACACCCAAAAAAAAAAAAAAAAAAAAAAAAAAAAAAAAGGACCTTGTGCCATATGCTACCTTGATGGAGAGGTTATGTAAATAAAATTTCACATTATGAGACATTGAATTCATAAAGTTTAGTCCTATGATTCAAATTGTTTTGGGATTAATCATATGTAAATATGAGCATAAAGTAGCATTTCTTTTTAGTCCTCAAAAGCTTGCTTTGCAAATGTCTCATTTCTCTTGTTTCAAGTGCAATTATATTTCTAAATTGGCTTCATATAATTTTCTATTAAGAATAACAAAAGGAGGTGGTGGCGGTGATAGCTCAGCAGATGTGGGAAAGAAAGAAAAAAGAAAAGCAAACAAATACTTTGCAATATGGCCAATTGTCAAGTTAAAAGTAGCAATAATAATAAAAGGACAAAAACAAAATTTTACCAAAACTTTGTCTTGTCATCAAGATAAAAGGATTTTTTTAATATTTTTTGTTGTTAAAATCTTGTTTTATTGCATCAACAAGTGACCATAAATTTATAAAGTAAATTTGAGTCTTTTTGTAGTGAAAAAGATCGATTTGGAAATTCTCACACAAATCAGATAAATTGTTGGATTTTAATGAAACTTTCAGGACTTATTCACAAATGAAAAGGTGTTTTTTTTTTGTTTTTTTTTTTCCACATCTATTACTCCCAGACTTTGAGAAGTTCTTTTTTTGTAGCACTTCATTCTTATATTAGTTATAAGAATGAGTCCTTGAAGAAATTTAAATCCAAAAATATTTTTTTGGTCAAACATGACTCCCTGTTGCTCTGAATTGAAAAAAAAAAAGGGGGGGGGATAAAACTAAGACGTTATTTAATTAGAAAGGCTTTTAATTACTTTTATGAACAAATTATAAAGACTATTGTCTTAATAATATTTTTCTATAAATAATTTTTACAAAAACTTAGTTTTTAATTTTTTGGATAATTTACAAACAAATCTTAAAACACTATTTTTTTTGTTGCAATAAAATTATAGTTATTAAATTAGAATTGTATTTACTAATTCTAAACAGAAACACTTACAATTCAGTGACCCCCCCCCCCACTGCCAGTATTTTACAAGGAATTTTGAATTTATTTTATGGATGTATAAACATGCTTTTTATAAAGACAGAAAATAAGAGCAGTAACTATAGTAAATTTTAAATTTATTAGTATTTTTTTTAACATTTCCTTACCAAGCGCCTTTGTAAGCCAAAGTACATAAAATTCAATATCAGATTGCTTAGAGTAATTAAAGTAAATTTACATAGTTTCTTACATTTCACCTTTCTTTGGTAGATCTAATATCACAATATGGGACATCCAATAACTAAAATATTACACAAGATGGCCTAAAATCATACATCTATTTTCTTTTTGAAAATGAAATGAACTTAAAGTAGGTATTAAAAAAATTTAAACAGAACTTGATTTGAGGAAGATTAACTGATTTAATGAATAATACTTTCAGTTTATTGCAGAAAAGCATTTATTTTTAACAAAGGTATCGTGTAGCTACATGTTTCTCAATCTGATAATTCCGATTTTTAGTTAAAGAGGGAAGGTGTGTAGTAAAATTAAGTGAATATAAAGTAAACATTTTTTTTTGTTTTAGATTATTTTCTTAACTGCTCAGTAATCTATAAAAATGTAAAATATTTTAAGCATTTTAATATTTTATTGAATTTTAGGTACTCTGGCTTTCTTATGAAGATGCTCATTGAGGAAATGTTAAAAAATTACCAATGAATTTACTGTAGTTACCACTCTTTTGTAATAATCTCATGTGCGGACCCCTGTATTTACAAAAATTGGTATGTTTATATATTATACACACACTAAAGAAAAAAAAAAAAAATTTTTTTTTGAAAACATTTCACCCCCAAATCATACTTATTATAAAACCCAGGTTGTCTGTGTGTGTAGGTTTATATATTGGATCGGATTTCCTACATTTTTCAACTGATTTCAACAAAACTTCACAGGACTACGTAAAATTACCTTGCTGTGGTTCTGACAGCGCCAAAAATTGAAAAAACAATTGTTCTTGCACAAAATCAATTTGAAAACACGATTAAGAGGCATCGCGAGAATGAAAGGGGGACAACTCATATCGAGTTTTACTTATAAAACCCAGGTTGTGTGTGTTTATATATGGGATCGGATTTCCTACATTTTGCAAAACATTTTTTGGCAAGTAGTGTTTCTTTATTGTCTTGCACACTTTTTTCTTCATTTTTACATTCGGAATGCTTTAAAAATTCCATTTACAAGACAATTGTTTATAATAAAATTCTATTCAGTCAGTAGACTCATAACGATTGAAAACAATGTTTTTGTTTGAGCTTGGGTTTGACCAAGTCGTTAAAAAAACAAAAACTAAAAAAAACAAAACCAAACAAAAAACTAATTAAGACATGCGTATCCGTCAACCTTAAACAATAATCTTTGTCAATTTTATTTTTCAGTCTTTATGATGGTCGATACTTGATCTATCTCTTACTGTTACATCTCCGGGCTCTACTGTTAGTAAGATAATATAGACACTATAAGACAGTGTTCTAAGAGAATGAAAAAATATAATAACAATTTAGAAGACAGAAGATAATGATTCACATTCATTACGCTTAAATTTTTTTGAAGACATTTCAAAAATAATTTCCTTCATTTGTGAACAAGTTCTGGACTGAAAGTGTCATTTAAAATAAATGAATTATCAGATTTTTGCAACAATTTCCAAATAAATGTGTCCCCACAAAAAAAAAAAAAAAAAAAATTCTCTAACCTCTCATGCAAATTTATGGTCCCACATCGATGGAAGAAAAATAAATTTAAAGGTTTTCTAACAAAGATTTAAAAAAAAAAAAGGGGGGGGTTGTAAAAATCATTTTGTTTATTCCTATTACTAAAGAATAGAGTAAAGACTGATGATAAAACTTTGTTTTTATTACATTTTGTCATTTGGGCACTTTTTTTGTACTGAATCTTTAGTTTCTGTGCCTAGTGCTTTTCTGGGCAGGGAAGGGAAGATGCTGAAATTCATTTCATTCAAGTATTAAAAAAGAAAAGTATCCGACGTGAAAAATTCAACCATTTTTAAAAGGCGAATAGGATTTTTTTGCCAAATGTAATTTTGAAATTAAAAAAAAATATTAAGCCTAGAAAATAAAGATTTTTTTTTTTTTTTAATTAAAATCACATTTTTATTTTATTTCAAAACCAACGTTATCTAGTAAAGAAAAAAATTGAATAGGTAAATTTTCTTTTGTTGAAAGATCTTTTCAAACTATCAATGTTCAAATAATAAAAATTAATTTTTTTTTTTAAATAAATACTTTTTCACCTGAAAAAAAAAAAAGCTTGGAAAAAAAAAAAAACTTAAAAAAATAAAAATAAAATCCAGTTATTTATATACGGATTTTATTTCAGAAACAAAATTAACTTCTTCCTTTCACTAATTATAAATAAATTAAATTTAAATTATCAGCTTTTAAGCATTTTTTTTTTTTATTAAAAGACATTTTTCAAGACATGAAACAAAAGTTCAAAAGACTTTTTTTTTTAGGAAAGTTTTAGCTTTAAAAAATAATTTTCAATAAATCAAGTTTTTAAAAACCTAAGATTTTTTTTCTACTAATAAGAACGCATTTAAAATAAAATTGTCCATTATTTTTATTTTAATAAATTAAAAAAGAAAAAATCTAAAGATTATAAATTAGTATTTAATAAATAGTTAAACATTCTAAGTTGAAGGAATTAGAAAGAAAAAAAAATAAAGACATTTTAATCAAAATCCAAGTTGAATATTTAAAACCTGGAAGACATAAATTTCTCTTCTTGTCCAGAAAGAAAGGAAGGAATTTCCTTTTCTTTCAATCTGGGGTTCATTTAATTAAAATTAAATATAAAAAATTACACCAAAGAAGAAAGAATATCACCAATATTTTAAAATAAACAACGATTGAAAATATTAATGATTTACTTTATTTTTTATCATTTTAAATAAAATAAAATTTGAAGAAAGAACTGTAGTCTTTCTTTAAATAAAGACTTGCCGAAAGTCACCTTATTACAAACATTTTCATCCCCTTTAAACCGGTTTTCCAGATTTATTCCCACCTTTAAAATCACTTTAAAGTATCAAGTAGGGAAATATGAGTTACAAAGACAAATAAATATAATTTTAAACCGTTTTTTTCACACCCAATTTATCATTCTTTTTTTTTGTGTGTGTGTGTCGTCAACCATCAGAACAAAAACAATATAAAACCGAACCAATTCTGGAGGTTTTTACTTTACTTCTCATCAACTTTTTAACCGTCTGTCTAAATCCCAAACTTTGATAAAACATTTCTTAATAAGAAAGAAAACACTAATTTAAATGATACTTACGTAATTCATCTTCTTAATACAGATCGGCGACTCTAAAAAAAACAAATCCTTCCCTTCTTCTCTGAGAAAAACCTTTCACAAAATTGCAAATGGCCGCTACACAGTCACACAGTAGAAGGGAGGAGAAGAACACGTGAGTTGCGGTAAAAGTAAAGAAATTAAAAGAAGTAGGAGGAGGAAATTATACTAATCTACAGGGAGGGGTAAAGGATGGTTTAGGTAGAAGGCAGAGTATAAATATTAAAAGGAGTAAGACGAGAGCCAACGAAGTGGGAGGTTTGAGAAAAGAGTTCTGAAAAGGAGGCTGTATTAAGATTTTACCATAGACTGGCACGAGGAGAACAATAAAGAGGCACCCAGTTACGAACAGGAAAAGCTTTTTAGCTTTTTTTTTAACGTATGTAGCTTAATGCAGATTAGGATGATCTACTGTTTAATAAGTGGCTTTATGTCAGATAAAAAATTTACTAGAATTTAAAGCAACTAGTATACGCGATGCCACTTCCCACGAGTCAAATCACCCTAATTTCTCCACTATTTACATTATTCGGACTATTGTCCTCATCTTTGTCGCCATATTTATCACAACGTTTCGTCCGATGTACGCTTCGGCGTTCTTCAGGTGGTTGGAATGTCGAACTAAACCCTTTATTTCACTCACTGGGGTAGATTCTTCTAGTTCCACGTGCCATGTCTAATGGATATCAGTTATCTCCTGTTAATTCCCCTCTCCAAGTTCTCTACTGCCTTAACCAGGTATTGAACTCACACTCTTTGAGTCCTGTCACTGGATCTAACCAACAACTTTATCCACTGTGCCACGTGTCCTCACCAGTCTCAAAGAACAATCTTGCCTGAAACAAAAAGTTAGCTCTTTTTATCCTTCCTCGGTTTCGGGCAAGAAATCGAGATCTCTTGCTTGTGTTAGCCTCATTCACACCGATAACACATGTGCTGTGTCACTTCAATATTGATTTGCCAAAGTTTGCCTCGCACGTCTATGATGCCTACAAGCGCATGTACAGACAATTCACCTTCTCTTGCTTCGGTGAGGTATGTCTCCACCACATCATCCTCATCCTTCGACCTCCCTATGGTTGGTCGAAACTCCATTGACAATCCCTTTCCACACTGTTCTGTCCTGCATTGCTGCCCCCATTGTCCAACCCGGAGTCTCAAGCTATGGTGTCTGGGAAAGTAAATTTTTGCGAGAAGACACTTCCAGAAGGATGCCTTAGGAGTAAAAATGAGACGATTTCCCTGTCCACTCGGTGGCAGTGGCCAGCAAACTGTAATTGTTTTTGTTTGAGCTTAAGAGATATTGGTCTCAGTTCTCCATAAATTGCGTTAAGCGTTGCATGGGATCTCCAACCGATGTTCTGGATTTTTCTATGTAGATTTGTATATGTTCCATCCAGTCGTCTTTCAAGACGAACATAATGTCCAAGTCTCTGATCTATACAGTAGGACTGGTTTAGTCAATGTTCGAAAGGTTTGGACTTTTATGGATGATGCAAGGTTCGTATGCCAAATTTTGTGAAGTTTGTTACATGCATCTCATGCAAGAGATCTGAGGATGTTTAAGTCTTTTGGGGAATCTATTATGTGAGATCCAAGAGTCCTCAACTCTTTTGATGGATATATTATTATTCACTTCCTACTACCTCCTCTTGCATTCATATCACACACCTCATTCATTATAACAACTTTACCAGTAATTCTCTACCTTGACTAGCTCTCAAACCTTGTGCTGAAGGGAATTTTAGGACATAAAAATGGGTCAAACTGTACTCTCCAGCTTTGAGTAATAGCCAATTTAGGAGAATAGCGATTCTCGATTCAAAACCGTTCAAACGATAACTGGATTCCACTCCACTATCTTTTCAAAGAAGTCATAATAATTCACATTAAAATTAAAAGAAAAGAACGCTGTGGAGAGCCATGACTTATTAGTTGAATCAAAGGAAATTTTGTTGCCACCTTTTCACATCAAGAATTACCTTCTCAAGGCACTTGATGTAGGCCTCCATGTTGAGTCTGAGGCCTTGTCGGAAGATGAATGGAGACATAACGTCTTCATCACTCCAAATATCATCATGTTGACTGGATATTTGGTTTTCATCACTCTCAGTACATCTTTTGGGGAAACAACAAGCCAAACACTCTGAAATGTTTGTATTGGAGATTCTGGTAATAATACTGAGCGGTACAGCATGCTGTTTCCAAATTTCTGGTGGAGTGAATTGTGTCTTGGTGCTCTTTTTCTTACAGACGGTGCCCAACTGACCCTACTGTACTGTGCTGTTGAAAAAATAAACAATGCACATGCGTGAAATTAAAAATATAAAATGGTGGCAATTTAGCCATCGCACCCTGTATAGGAAAATTACCAAGAATACCTATTTATAGTAAAAGTACCAACAATACCTATTTACAGTAACATTTCCAATAATACATATTTATAGTAAAATTGCCAACAATACGTATTTATTACAAAATTACCAACAATACAGATTTATATAAAATTGTCAGCAATTCATTTTATCTGTAGTTAAAGGCATACAATTACATTCAAAAGATATTTAGTTTAAGCCATAAAATTGTGTTCCAAATATTTAGATTTTGGCATTAAATGACCTATAGAAGTTCTGCCACAAAACAAATCAACCAACATGAAAGAACTGTCATGACATTAATCCATATAATATCAGACAATTTCTTAAAGAAATCAAACTCTATTCCAAAATATAACTTCAACAAAACTACAACATAAAACACACATACCACCGCCTCTAGTAACCATGTCCACACAAACATGTATATGCACAAAAGCATATATATATATATCCACTTCAAATTCCAGTTGAATCCATTACATTCACTTACATGCTAATACCTTTGGGAAAGGTGTGTGAATTACAATTAATGAGATCCAAAATACATTTACTAAAATCATTTTAGTAAATGTATTTTTATTGATAAGTCCAGGGAAAAAAAACTTTCCCATGGACGAAATAATCATCTGCATGAGGTAAATTGTTTGGATCTCATTAATTGTAATTCACTTATATGCTCTATAATAAAAATTATTTTGAGCTCTCTTTTATGGATCAGTTTTAATATTTTATATTAATAGGATCTACATGGATTACTTACACACAGATGTTTTTACCTATATATATATATATATATATATATAGTCATAGGCAGACAGACTGTTTCGTTGTATCACAGCTCCTCAATGTGGCTAGAAATCCAATTGCTTCAAGCTGGGATTGAAACCTGACTGATTTGACATGTCAGATATCTTACCCCTCGGCCATCATTGCATGGCAGAAAGGAAAGGAATTTTAATGTTTTTCTTCCATACAAAATATGCCAGCGGCCCAAAGAACTCAATTCGTACTTGAAGAGTAATGCTTAATAGATGTAATAGCCGCTGTTTTTAAAAAATATAATATATACACACACACACACACACACACACACACACACACACACACACATATATATATGAATGAATGAAGAAATAGACTCTTAAGGTGTGCAATATTTATGGGATAAAGTGCTAAATATCAGAGATAGAGCGTATGTAAATATAAAAGAACATTGACCTCAATGTTCACTTTATATATATATATATATTTATATGAGGCACGGGGGAGTAATGGATAGCGGCTTGGATTGAGGAATCGGAGAGCTGAGTTTGAATTCCAGTTGAATCCATTACATTCACTTACGTGCTAATACCCTTGGGAAAGGTATGAATCCTCTACTCCTCCCTCCAACTATGGGTAAAATAGCAGGATAGACTAGGTTCTATAGTCTTGGATGGCAACTGGTCTAGGAGAAGGACAACTCTGAATTCAAGACCTGCAGAGGGTCGTTTGGGGACCTTGTGGCATGTAGTGCACCAGGTCTTTGAATTGCCCTCAAAAAAATGTGGATGGTTTTGCAAACCTTTCACCACTATAATCAATTCTCAAGTGCTGTTGTCGGGCTGTCGGTTTCCTGGGAACTGATCTGCTTGACCCTCAAAATGAAACGGAGAGGAATATATATATATATATATATATATATATATATATATATATATATATATATATATATATATATATAAAATGAAGAAAAGAAAGCCATTTTGAGTGAAGTGACAGGGTGAAAATGAATGAAAGAAGAAATATGAAGTTAGCAGAAGTTTATGAACATCTAGACAGTTCAACTGCAAAATGATGAGACCTTGCAACCAATCTAGTACTGCGCTTAGTTCAATAAAGATAAGAAAATAGAGAAACAATTTTAACGAACGAGAACAATAAAAGAAGAGGAATCAAGAAGACAGGAGATAGTGGTTGACATTGCATTTAAATTTTTAAAGATCAAAGTTGGTTAGAAATCATGGAGCCAGAAGAGAGTTCCACAAGCGAAAAGTGTGAGAAAAGAAACTGTTAGCATAGAACTTACAGTTACATCTAGGTATTTCAGCAGTAAAATAATAGAACCTTGCCGCCAATCTAGTACCATGTTTAAATTCAAAAAGTCTAGATACTATAGAGGAAAATTCTTCCAAACAATTAGCATGAAAATATTTATGGAAAAGTCACAGAAAAGCTATATTACTGTGATGGAAAAGTGACTGAAAGCCAAGATGCCAGGTCAGGATCAATAACATTGCAGATTCTTCTTTGGATTTTATCAAGAATCTCTAGATGTACACCAGGAGCTCTAGACCAGATGTAACAACAATATTCAAAGCGTGGATGAATGGTAAACTTATATGTGAGTTAGATTCTGGAGAGAAAAATTGTCGAGCACAACACAGTGAACCTACTTTCTGAGAAGTAAACCTGCTGATTGATTCAACATAATCTTTCCACTTATGAAAAAATAATTAACAAAATTACAATGTTACTAAGAGAGTTCCTTTGAAAAAAGAAACCGTCAAAATGACGACGGACGGTAGAAATAAAAAATTAAAAAAACTGGCAATGATTTACAAAATGCAGATT